TACTGAATTCGTTACCTAATTATTCATTTATTTTTTTACATTATTATGTTGTGTTTATTATATATAGGTATATTATATATACTTATATAATAGCACTAGAAATTATTATTGGAATTTAAAAACTGAATTCCACAAGGAAAAAAATAGCATAATTCACTGTTTCTTGAATATAAGTAACGCCTATGATGTCAAATATCTAATACGACAACCATAAGCGGTCTTAGGATTTTAATTTTAAAAGAAACTTATTCTCGTACAAATTTTAAAAATATTTTAACGAGTCCGTGAGCCTTCCACCTGTAAACTATTTCACTAAAATCCGGTTTTTAATAAATCTAGATTATCGAATTAATCCTAAGTGCACCTATCGTTCTATAACTGATTTTAACTAGTAATATTAATAGTATATAAAGTATTATTAATACTCAAGTAAAATAGAATTTAACTACATCCATACCTTTAGCATAAATTCGACCAGCTGCACCCGCATCTTAATATTATTGATTGATTTCACCCGTGAAATTTAGAGTGCTAGGTTCTGTGTCGCGAGCTATTTTAAGTCGTGGACAAAAATCAAATTGAAAACATAAAGTACTTTACTTTACTTTAATTTAATAACACTATAGTATAAAAACCAAAGTTAAAAAAGTTAAAAACTTATTCGATAAATTATTACAAATAAAACACTGTCGAAATATATTACAATATAAATAAACTAATTTTATTCGATTAAACATTTACAAAGTGTTTATCGTCATCAAAAAATAAACAATATATTCACCAGCTTTCTACTATAATAATAATAATAATAATATTTATAGCCAGCACAGTATTGCACAATATAATATAATGTGTTTATTTAGATAATAGCCAACACAATATAATATCAATTTTATGTACAACATGGAGCTTATTCATCATAATAATAATAGTTACAAAGTAAAGTTTATATAAATAAAGTAATGATATTCCTCATCGCTTCAACGACGAAACCAAATTAGTTGGTGACGACTGGATGTTAAACTTTATGTCAAAATACAATTTCAGAGTGAGAAAGCCAGAGGCTACTTTAGTTGGTCGTTTAATGGCTTTTAATAAAGTTAATAAAGATAAAAAATATTTATGTTATTCTTATTAAAGAACTAAGAAGTTGTTTTATTATTAATTTTATACTAGTTAGGTAAATTCAAGACTTAAAATAAACCTATTTAGATACATAAGTTTTGAAAAATATATTTTAAATTGGTATTATTTTACCAGGTACCTACCTATTATTAACAAGGTTTGTTAAATTTTTATGTTATTCTTATTAAAGAAGTTGTTTTATTAATAATATTATACTAGTCAGGTATATTCAAGACTGTTAAAATATTTTTAGCTATACTTATAAGTTTTTTAAAATACCTATATTAATAGGTATATATTTTTAATTGGTATTATGTAATAGGTACCTATTATTAACAAGGTTTGTTAAATTGTAATGTTGTTCTCATTAAAGAACTTGTTTTATTAATATAAGTTGTTTAAATATTATTATATATAATATTAAAAGTTGTTGGGTTTATTTATATGTGTATGTCATCTTACCCCAGGGAAATGTCAACTTACCCCAGCACATGGGTAAGATGACGAATTTTGGTTTTTTTTTTTTATTTAAATTAAATTGGCTTAAAGACAAATTTTGACACTGATATTTTTTTAAAACTGTTCCACAAGTTAAAATTTTAAATTGGTGTAGAATTTGGACTTGTATCATAAAAATTAGCCATTTGAGAGTACATCAAACCTATGATTCGTCAACTTGCCCTGGTCTCCCCTATCTATGATAGTATCGCGGTTTGTTGTTGATGTATAACGCATTATAAGTACCTAATGGATATTGTGATATGATTAATTTGGAATTTATTATAGGTAAATTTTTTTCAATACCTATTATAGATAAGTATATAATATGTCTTATACCTAGACTGACATACCGTCTCCGCTCAGAATCGTTTTTCTTATACAATGATATTATATCATTGAATTCAAATTTAATACCATCCATTCATTATACAGTCACCCAATTGTAATTTGTAACCTACAGTATAGCAGAGCGACACCCACTTACCCACCTTTTTATTTTATTTTATTATTATTTATTGTTTTTATAGTAAGTTTTTTATTCTGCAAATCCTATTATAATTTAGTATTTTAAATTTTTAACAAACAAATGTTTTGGTATGATGTAAACTATTTAATTGGTTTTTATATTATTTTATTATATATTATTGAGCATTATTTATTCATTATTATAAATTAACGTGTCAACAAGCTAGTAGAAAATTAATTTATACAGCATATGTGTGTAAATCCTAGTGTTTTAACAGGAAATAAACATTTCCTTCAAAGCAACAAAGACAAATAAAGAGGAAAATGATGTACAGGTTGCCATACTCTTAAATTTAATGGGAACTGATGCTTTAAAAATCTATAATACGCTAGGTATTAAAAAAGAGGAAATAGTAGAAGCAATAATATTAAAAATATATTAATAAGCCAACAATTATATCATTGAATTCAAGTTTAATACAATTCTTTATACATTGACCCACTTGTAACCTACTGAACGGCAGAGCGACATCCACTTACCGACTTTATTATAAATTGTTTTTGCGTGAAAACATTTACGTTAATTTGTCCCTGACAGACACGTTCATATGCACAATATATTATGACTATAAGTCAAAATATTTGCTATAATAAAGGAAATAATGTATACGGTAATTAAAAAAAATATTTCATATCACAGAATTGACTTAATTAAGTAGGTATGTCCGATATGTGACACAATGTAACTTTAAATTGGAATTATGAGTTTTCAAGTAAATGCATTCCACGATATTCTAAAAACAAACTAGGTACATTTATTAATGCTATGTTTAATTATTATAAATAGCTTTATCTATATATTTTATGCAAAAAATTCCTCGATTTCTAATAGTGTTTTATTTTCCGTTTCTGGTAAATAAAAGTATAAGTAGAGTGATCCAAAAATGCCCAAACAACCAAAGAGAACCATAGTGTATTCCAAGGTCAATAGAATCTCTATTTCTATGTATGATTTTGTTAATATGAATATTAATAAATAAGACAATCCTGCAGATGAGCCAGTCGAAATACCTCGGACTCTGAAAAAAAAATCATAACCAACTGCAATTAGATTAAATTATTAAAAGGATGGAATATACCTTATTCGTAATTTATATATCAATTATAAAAATAAGCAATATTACCTAAAATTAGGTACCTACATAGATATTATACTTCGGTGAGTATAGAATATTGTACTTACTATCTCTAATTATCATAATCATCCCCAAAAATGTACTATGTTGTAATCTACTTTTAGTAAATTTTAGTACTACACTATTACATAATAATAATTTATAATTAATGGGTAGGTAACACAGCTGTGTTAAAATATTATAATAATATATTATGTATATATAATATTATATCGGCTTTCAATTCTCTAATGCTCGAATATTCATCAAATTACTTGACCAGCCAAGTATACCATTCCCACTTGAGAATTATTTAACGAATAATTTATTTATAGTAATTTATTTTACGAACACATAACGTATATCGTTGTTTCGTGTCACCGATAATCCATCTGAAGGAGGTAGCGAAGAAAAAATAGCAAATATCAAATATTCGTACAAGTACTCTGTTCCTTCTAACTACCTACAGGTGCATAATATGTTGACTATAAACAAATATAGCAAATATTTGTCAAAAACAGTGGAGTAGTATTTGGGTCTATATGCTACAAAAGTACAAACATACGGACAGTAATACATTTTTATCTTGAATCAAAAATTAATTGATGGATATCACAATTTTAAGTCCTAACATATATTTTTATGTACACCATTAATAAACCACTATAAATTCTTAAATAAAAAAAAGAAAAATAATTGTATTAATATAGACATTTTTGCCCCTATAAAGTTTAATACTACATACACTAGGTTCCTATATAAGAATAGTATAAATTATATTTGGTGGGGAATAAAAATCCCATACATTCTCTCCACCATAAATACTATACCGACTCTCAGTATAGCTTGTTGATTTTATTTAAACATATTCGTCTACTGAATTATTGTTATATTTCTAAGAATAGTAAATTATTGTGTAAGAAAATGTATAATTTTAATGAGCTTTACTTGTTTGGAAAAACTTCACTAAGTAACATCCATGGCAAAATAATGACTGAAGCTCCAAAAAAGTTGATGCCACATAATATAGTTATAGGAATCCAAGGAGTTGAGTAGATATAGCCATTCTTAATTGCTACAATGTAGATGCCGAGTAGAAACATCAATAATGTGTTGATAAAAAATGTCAAATTAGTCAAAAACCTTTTAACCAGATAATAACCAGATAATGGACGGTCAATACTACTATCAAGGATCCAATAGTTTGTAGAACAGCAAAAACTACCTGGAAATATTTCAATAAAAATATTTATTATTTTACCTATAAAATTGTTTATATTTCCCTAGTACCTATATTTACCAAGAACAAACTTTGATTATTCGATATACCAACTTCTGTCACGATTTTACTGGTATACGGTCTCCAAGGTACACTGCTAACGATATCGGAAATCAGGAAATAAAACATAATAAATATAAAAGGTCTGTACACCGAAGGCTCCTTAAGCTCGGCTAATTTTGATGATAAATTAATACGATTAACATCGGCCGTTCTTCAATGAGTTCCTAATATACCTAACCGGATGAGTTCAAGGAGTTCGGTTTTGACAATTTCGGGTTCTACCCATCCTATTAACCAACACAAGAAATTTTCGGCTTTTTCGTTTTTCGCTTTGGAAACCAGCCACACTGGAGACTCTGGAATCTATAAGCAATACAGGCGCATGTGTACCATTACAATTAACTTATAAGTATAACAAACATATAGGTAGGTACCAAAATCACAAGGCATATTCACGTGATCGGACAAAGTGTACTCAGCAATGCGACGGTTCTACATTCGAATAAATATCCCAAAAAGTAAGTCAACAACACTCCAAACATAGACGAGGTACACGCCAATGAAGCCATCGATCCCCTGAGTCTCGGTTCGGTTATTTCGCCGATGTACGACAATATCGGGGCTTCGCTGAATCCTATGCCCAAACCCATCAGCACGGTGGACGAGTAAAGTGAAACTGTGGAGTGTGTGTAGTACAGCAATATCCATCCGAAAATACTGGGGACGTTGGCGAGAATCATGCACCGTTTCCTTCCATATCTTTCTTGTAGGCATCCCGATAGAAAACTTCCGGTCGGATGAAATATAAACAATATACTCCCTGTATAATAGTAAAAAATATAAATGTATAATTGAGCGTACCTATTTGATGCGGCAGAGTGTGGGTGATTTGAACTGGTGCGTGAACAGTAGCTTGTATAATATTATATTGATAGGTACTTACAATAATATTATTATACTCCACAATTTATCACAAAAACGACGCATATAAGTCGAGTACAATTTCGTGAAACGTATTGTAGTGCAGTGTTCTGATTTTCAATTTGATGAACTCACTAAATAGCGAACCTCTAGTTTTTTAATAATTTTAACCTTTTTTTTGTTACCTAAGATAGTTCATGTTCTGAAATCTCAATGAACTAATAACTACATAAATTAGAATCAAATACATGTTAGTTGTTCAAATAGTTAATGTTAATGAGAATTCACTGTCCGAATTTCGATATAAATGTTGAATAACAATTGTGGGCATTCCTATTTCCATGCCCAATTCAATTAATAGAAAGTTCTGCGCTGTTGTAGCGAAAATCTGCGTTATTTAATTGCAGTTGTTTTGGTTTGTTTTATATTTTAAAAAAGGTTTGTATACATATATTATAATCTGATACCAACTTGTGCCACCGTAGCATTTGGGCCGTAGGTTTTGGGAGTATTGTCCATGTTATTTTAATTTTTATTAGACATTGACGACTTGCCTGAGTAGAACTACAAATTACAATAATTTAAAAAAAATTTAGCTAGGTTATCTAGCCTATAGGTGTATACGCGTACGTCTAAGTTTTAGAGTAAAATCAACCGTCGATAATTACTATAAAATGTCGGTTTTTCCAGTCAGACAGTATCGCGGACACATGTAATTTTTTTTTTTTTTTTTAATTATAAATTATATAGAGCTCAAAAGAACAAGTTTACAAGAATTTAATAAGATGAATCTATCTACCACCTATAGCTTGTGATGATGGTAGAGAGATCCAAAGTCTAGTAATTAATATAATAATCGATGCCTGCAGCTTATAGGCACTCGTACTTTCCCTTATTTTTTAATGTCATTATGAAATCTAACATTTCCTGTTTGTGACGCTTTGAGACTTGTTTTTAGTATATATTTTAAATAATAACTGTTCGAAACATATCATAAAATAAGCATAACACCTGTTTCGAGGAAATATCTAGCCTGAAATGGAAATAAAATATGAAATAAACGAGAAAGTAACGAAATTCTTAAATTAAATAATATTATAATAAATTGTTCGCAATTTGAATAATACGAAGACGATTCACAGCGAAAAATTTTCATCTAAATCTACAACTAAATTATCATAAATTATCATATATTTTCTTTGTCTGGCACTTCACAAAGTTAGAAAAGTGTGAAATTTCTTCCTAGAAACCCACATAATCTCTAAATCCAAATTATTTTAAACTAAGATCACTTTTATATATGTAAAAAATCTCTGCAATTATTTATTGCAACTATTAGTACCACACGATTCATGATGACAAAGATGTGCATAAATTTCCTCACCACCGTTTGCTTGTTAAACGTAAGACATTACATCGTCCATGTTGTTTAAACGCAAGAGGTATTATACGAGGCGCGTTTTTTTTATTGTGGTGTCCCCGGTAGGCATAGTCCACATTTTAAGAAAGTCTTTTACAGTAAGTTGTATGAGCGACATTAATGATTTTATAATAAATAGCTTGTCTGTGAAATATTAAGCACCTAATGGGAATATCTAGCCTCTAATGGAAAATGTATGAATTATCACGCGAATCACACGTTGTCAATGAACCACACTTCTTTAGCGCACCTAGCGTCGTCATTGAACCACACGTCGTGAAGGCACCATACGTCGTCAGCGAACCGAACGTCCTGAGCGCAACGGCACGTCGTCAGCGATCCGCACGTCGTCAGCGAACCGCATGTCGTCAGCGAACCGCACGAAGTCGGCTGCAGCGCACCGTGTGTCCAATCCCGGATTATGGGAGGGGGTCAAGGGGGGCACGGTCTCAGGGCCCATTGGTTTTGGGGGCCCATCTTTTCCCCAATATATATTTCAAATACAGTTTTCAAAAAAAAAAAAAAAATTATTGAAGTATATAAGTATAGTAGGTTAATTATTATTAATAATAAAATTATAAAATAAAATTGTTCTCCATTTTATACCACAAAAAATTACTATAAATAATGAATTATTATGTTTGCCAAAAATATGGTTTTTTTTTCGAGCATTTTAGATTACCGAATTAACTATTTAAGTATACAAAAAGGTAGTTATAAGAAAAATAATATTTAGCTCTTAATAAATTAGGTATTTCAGTTACAAGTATTAATGCATATTAAACTAAAATTTAAAGAACCATAGTCTAACTTAACCTAACGAACCAAAATTTATCATTTTACTGTCAAAATATTCAGAAAAAAGTTTTACCAGAATCCATCCAAAAATATAGTGGTTACCATTTGAAAAAATAAAGTCGATTTTATTATTGATACAACTGCGTGTTTATAAATTTTGAAAATTTTGTGAAAAAATTGCTTATTAAAAATAAAGAAACACGTCTTTTTTTGTTTTAAGGAAATTCCATATCATTGATTCATAATTGTTAAAAAAAACAACGTTTAATGACATATGATACACCCTGTATATTTGTTGTATAGTAAAAAATTATACAGTAATATAAATTCGTTAATATGTAATGATACAATTATTTTTAATTTAAAGTTGAAAGGGGGCCCACTAAGTGTATAGGTGTCCCGGGGCCCGATCTATCCTTAATCCGGGCTTGCATGCGTCGTTGGCAAACCACACGTTACGTCAGCGAACCGCACGTCGTCAGCGAACCACACGTCGTCAGCGCACCGCACGTCGTCAGCGAACCACACGTCGTCAGCGAACCGCCCGTTAACGCAGAGAACGGCACGTCGTCAGCGAACCGCACGTACGTCAACGACGTGCACGTCGTAACAAAGCACGCGTGCGTCAAAAAACTACACTTCGTTATCAGGACCGCTAGGATGCCATCGGCAAAATCCCAATATTCACATGGAAATTATCGAAGATTTTATGGGAAATGTATGCTTTTCTATGAAACATCAAACCACGAACGGAAAATACATAAATGAAATATTCGGGGAATGTAAAAACGGTTTTAGAAAACCTAGATCGACATTGGACAATATTGTTACACTGAGACAGATAATGGCTAATTTGTATAAATTTGATAAAGAACTGCAACTGAAAACTGAAATTTGATTAAGAATCTTTTTAGACTATAAAAAAGCTTATGACTGAATTGACAAACTATGAGAAGCACTGGAAGAACTAGGCATTCCTAACAAGTAAGTAAGTCTTATAAAAGGATGTAACAATATAAATGTATGCGTAGTTCGCCTCCTGCAGGAAATGTCTGAAACCTTTGAGGTAAAGTCAGGTCTTCTACAATGTTAATGCTTTATCATCCACTCTACTGAATCAACTATTAGAAAATTAAATGATAGAAGTATGGGATGGTCGAAAAATGGAAATATTATGTAGTTAACGAGTAATATTGGCGTAAGCAGATGACGAATTTAAGTCAAAAATACTTGTCCAGACTCTTAGCATGTACAATAATGGGGCTAAGTAATACAGGGCTACGTGTAAATGGGGAAAAGACGAAATATTTAATGGTAGCAAGAAGAAGCTTAAACATAGACCATAATATTTTAACAGTAAATGATACAATTCAAGAAGTGCACGTCGTAACAAACCACACGTGCGTCAAAGAACTACACTTCGTTATCAAACCGCTCATCAGGACCGCTAGGATGCCATCGGCACTATCCAAATCTTTACATGGAAATTATCGAAGATTTTATGGGAAATGTATGCTATTCTATGAAACATCAAACCACTAACGGAAAATATATAAATTAAATAGTCGGCTAATGTCAAGGCGATAGTAGAAAACGTAGATCGACATTGGACCATATTATTACACTGAGACAGATTATGGCTAAATTTTATAAATTTGATAAAGAACTGCAACTGAAAACTGAAATTTGATTAAGAATCTTTATGGACTATAAAAAAGCTTATAACTGAATTGACAAACTATGAGAAGCACTGGAAGAGCTAGGCACTCCTAACAAGTAAGTAAGTCTTATACAAGGATGTAACAATAAAAATGTATGCGTAGTTCTCCTCCTGCAGGAAATGTCTGAAACCTTTGAGGTAAAGTCAGGTCTTCTACAATGTTAATACTTTATCATCCACTCTACTGAATCAACCATTAGACAGTTAAATGATAGAAGTATGGGCTGTCGAAAAATGGAAATATTATGTAGTGAACGAGTAATATTGGCGTAAGCAGATGACGAATTGAAGTCAAAAATACTTGTCCAGACTCTTAGCAAGTAAAATTATGGGGCTTAGTAATACAGGGCTACTTGTAAATGGGGAAAAGACGAAATTAATGGTAGCAAGAAGAAGCTCAAACATTAATACTTTAACAGTAAATGATTAAAATTTCAAGAAAGTGGAAGTATTTAAGTAATTAACCATTATAATAAATAGAACAAGGACAGGTACGAATAAATCAACTATCAAATAACATGCGGCTATCGGGGCTACTATAGCAAAATTAAACTT